TTTTTTTTTTTGGTTTAGTGGTTCGGTGTAATCCATGTCTCTATTTTTTTCCTTAAGCACTGCCTTTATGCTCATATTTATTTCTAAAGATGCAAAATGTATTGCACACACAAAGGGAAAACCCAATATACATTTTTCCGCTGGGTTTTGTTATATATGTATTCCTTTTTTTAGGTTGTCATACACACCATAAGGGGCCAATATTTCGCTTACCTGTAAACCTGTAAATTTTTTTTCTTCGATACAAATCTTTTCGTGCTAAGTAATTTATCTGACCCACAGCTATGAACGTATGATTAGGGAATTGAATGCCAAAATGTGCATTAACTATCCAAAAAGCGTACGTTCCTGTGGGTTTGAATAAATTCTTTATTAGTTTAGGTGATGCCAAGTAAATATATTTCATTTAACCTAAAGTTGTGTACTAATAAAAAAAACTACGCATACAAGTATGTTGTGCCGAGATGTTTATTAACATAAATTAGATACTTATAGAGAAGGTATGGAAATTAATTTAGCAGAGTTAGCCACTTCGGGCGCTTTATGTGCTTCATAAAATTCCCATTGCTCTAAGTTAATTGCAAATAGATGCAAATTTGTTTGTCAGCTGCTCGCCTTTATACATACAAATGTGCTGCTTAAGAATAATATCTTGCAAAATGGTCTTCAGTAATTGCATTTACTGCTCTTAAGTGAAATTAAAAATCATCTAACTAAGCAAATAAACAAACAACGAGTAGATGGAGTGCAATAAAGCAGTTAATTACATGCACACATAGAATAATGCCTTAAGTATTTCGAAAGTTAGTCTATGATTAGGTATCATTTATTGGCATTAGCAAAAGTCTAATTACACAATATAACGACAGTACTGTATACATATATATGTGTGTATACATATATGTATTTACCATAGCTATTTTCTGCATGTGTTTACAATTCGAAGTTTGCTTCATTTTCATGTCAATGTAAATGTCGTACATTTGTGACAATAAGCCCATTGGGAGTCCAGACTAAGCATAATTTTCAATTAAGTAAACACAAATTCACTCACAGTTGCACGCCGTAACCCAGCACACTAATAGTTTATTCAGCATTAATTTTATGTACACTTTGAAAACAGATAATGAAAACGATTTACTAAGGTATGTTTTTGGAGGACCAAGCGTTGCCGGGAGTTGGATAAAGACCAGACTGTCAGTGGGCAACGGTACTGCTTCTTTGCCAAATTATTTGGACGTGGCATAAAAGTTGCCAAAATCCAAATTTATTCCTGGCGACCTAAAGTACCTCCATAATCTACAAAATTCTAATAACTCTATTTCTAGCCCTCTAAATAAAACTTTGCTCTAAATAACGAAACGCAACATATCAATCGTAACCATAAATAAATAAACAAAAAAAGTTACACGTGCATTTCACGAAAAAAATTTCGCAGCTTTATGAGAAAGCCTGTCTGTACTTAAGGGTTGTTTGGTCATCTGTCCCTTGCGAGAGGCTTTTCTAGCACAACTTTATCAAAATCTCGAAACCGCCTGTTAGGAAAACACTTGGAAAAGTTTATGCTTTTGGGAAATGTGACAAAAAAGATGTTATTTTCTTAAATTTATTTTATATGAAAAAAACTTTATCTATTAATCTGGTAAAATTTATTCTATAGTTTTTGCAATCAAATACTATACAAAAATAATTGTTGTCTTAAATGTTTGTATGAAAATATATTAAAAGATAAATAGTCTTGTAAAAATGCATATTTTGTGTGAAACAATACCATATCTTTGAAAAATATATATGCAAAATCGTAGTTCTATAAACAAGTACTCGATACCTTTCCGATACTGAGTAGGTATCGAAACCTTGTTTGATACAAGTACAAATACTGATTTTAATATCTTGATATCTTGATGGCATCGATTTATCTCTAATTTTGATCTGAAGGATAATTTACTCGTGTGCCATGGCGTATGAGTGACATGAATGCAAACATAGTACGTATCTGGCCATATAAGTACCATGCACAGTGCAATATTTGAACAATATATGTATGTGGACTTACATAAGTACTAAAAAATATGCCCCGAATTCTCCTATTTTTACATATGTGATACAAAAATTTCCCACTGTTACGAAAATGAATACAAAACAAATTAAAAAATAACGTTTGACATATTAGCGCTAAAATACTTCAAATATTCTCATTAAAAAAGATAAATATTTTTTATATGAATTCTTAGTGCAAATTAATTTGTTTTTTGTGCATTTCAATTTTCATGCGCGTGCACGTGATTAGTGACCACATATTAACAAACTACTTCATAATTTTCTTTGATAAACGGTGTAGTTTTTTCTCAATAACTTCACATAAGTGAGTATATCATCATCTCATAAAATATTTTTGTTGTTGGGAAAACAAGATTAATTCTAAATAGATATACAGCGTTATTCAACTTTGGAATTATATTTGGCTCAAAACTGGGTCTATCGGTTATACAAATCGAAGGAAAAACATGGTTTTTCAAAGCCCCACAATCTACAGTTTTGCTTGGAAATGTGCTTCATCCGACATCAAAACATTACCTAAAAATCAATTTGTTTGGCTAATTGTGTAAACGAATAGTGCATTGTAGTCGTTGTTGATGGTCTTGTTGTAAGTATTCATTATGATTTACCAAGAAATTAACTAAAACATGCAAAAAGAAAATAACGATAAATATTAAAAAAATAACTGTTTAACATTGTTGGGTCTTAATTTATAATTAGTCTATAATATTCAAAAACGTAAAGAAACAAGTTTTGTCCACCTAGATTTTCGAAACATCAAAGAATGAATATAAAACAAAATAAATTACAATACTTGTTTTTGTGCTTTAAAGTACTTTCTACGTAGTAGGCGAGTTCATAGCCTCCAAAATCGTTTTCATAAATAAATCTTTCACATGATGATGGAAAATATACATAGTTTTCCGAATTTCAGCAACCGAAGGTTTTGGAAACTTTGCAATAGAAACCAGATTGTATATCGAAAATCAGCATCCAAAATATATCCCAAAAATATCAATAAAAAGTAAGTGCGCCTGGGCCGCACTGGAGAAGTGAAACTTACGTTACATATCTATTTTGTCTCATAAGCAATATATGTATGTACGTACACACATACATCTGCTTTTGCTTAAGGTTATATTTTTCCCCTTTTTTCTATTTAGGTCCCTACCTCTACCCCTGTCCATTCTAATGATATTTATGTTTTTCTGTTTTCCTTTATCTTCATTTTTATCTTTAAACTCTATCGATAATAAAATCAATAGTAACATCCAACAAAATATCGATAACAAAATAGATAGAAAAGGTCGATAACAAAATCGATAAATAATCGAAAACAAGTTCGATAAAAACATCGATAACAAAATTGATAAATATTCGATAACAAAATCGATAACCAAATCGATAACAATATCGTACGAATATAGATAACAAAATCGATAAAAATATCGATAACAAAATCGATAAGTATTCGATAAAAAAATCGATGAATAATTGACAACAAAATCGATAAATAATCGATAAAAAAATGTATAGCAAAACCAATAATAATATCGATAACAAAATCGTTTCAAATATCGATTATTACATCGATAAGTCCCGAGAATCTCTAAAATTCCAAATGTGTCTTTGTGTTTCCGTCTATATCCTTTTTCTATAGTTACATATATTTTAATCTTTCTTCCTCTATCTTCATCTTTATTTTTATCGATATCCTCATCCTCATATTTTTCTTTATATTTATCTTTGTGTTTACTTTTATGTTTATCATTTTCTCCATCTACATATTTCGCTTCACCTTTGCCCTTATATAAGTGAAGTATTTAAATTTACCTTGCTTTTAATTTTTGCTTTTATCTCTATGCATCTGTGTTTATTTGTACCTTTGTCTTTATCCTTTTCGNTTCACCTTTGCCCTTATATAAGTGAAGTATTTAAATTTACCTTGCTTTTCATTTTTGCTTTTATCTCTATGCATCTGTGTTTATTTGTACCTTTGTCTTTATCCTTTTCGTTATCTATGTACGTAGTCACCTTTACTTTCATTCTTGTATTGGTCTTTTTCTAAGTGTTATTCTTTAACTTTTTATTAGCAAATTTTTGTTAAATTAATACCATTTGCATACACTCAAGAAGAACTTGTTTCAGGTCAAACCATTTCCGTTGCACCATTTCCGTGTGCAATTTCCGTTGAATTTGCCAATTTGCGCCCAACCAACCAACCGCCGCTAAAGAAGTTTCACTTCAATAATTTTGCCCACCTAGATTATCGAAATATCGCCGTGTGCTATGTTTACATTCATGTCACTCATACGCCATGGCACGCGATTAAATTAGCCTGAAAGCTTTATCTTTATGCTTTAGGCCTATTATAAATATCAACATTTAGTTATTTACGTCTAAATATTAAAAGTTTCTATCGCTGTAGTTTTTTTTTTGTTTATTGATTTATTGTAACGCTCTTCATGGGCTGTTCGTCTATCAAAAATACTCTTAAAACGCAATACTTTGATCACCACTGTTAAAACTCAAAATGAAGGTCCAATATTGTGGAAGGTTTTTAGAAAAGGTTGTTGTAGCTTCAAAAAATCCCATATCACTGAGCTAGATTTTTTGTCAACTTTTTTTGGATTTCCGATCATAGTCCCACGCTTCGCAACAAACTTGAACTCTCCCGCCGATCTTTTAATTTTCAATTTTAAAATTTTACAAATTTCCAAAGAATCCAAACTGAATTGTATTCAGTAGAAAAATCCAAAAATTTCCGAACCCTGGCTCATGAAGGTTATCGCTGGTTGATTTATAGGAAGTGACGTTTTAACCTACACCAGCTGTTTGTTTGTCATTATTAACCGCAAGTTAATGTGTTACAAAACCAAACATTTTCAAAAGCACATGCACTTAAAAACACTTAAATTTATGCAACCAATTAGAAGTCGCAAATGCAGTATGGGTAAGTAAGGACCTCCTACTCTACGTGCTCGTATAAGCGCATCATAATAGCACCAGCGAACGCATTCATATTTAATATTCACTTATTGATAAATCTGTTTACGTATATGCGAGCATTTTCACCTTTGAGGGCTTTTCTAAAGTTTGAGTATATTTACTTGAGCAAATGCGCATGTGCGTGTGTGAAAGCAATAGGATTTTCGTAGACCACCAACAAGATGTATGTACATACATACATAGTAGGTCAAATCTAAATATCTGGTTTTACAAAACAACAGACTTATGCTTCATATAATTTTATTATATATGTACGTACATACTTAAATACGTACGTATACATATCTAAACGTTGTATATCTATGTATGTATGTATGACTACACCGTATGACTAACGCTTAAGGCCAGCATGTACATTGGGTATTATTGTGTATGAAATTCATTTCTAATTACGTGCGTGTCGTAGCGTTTACAAATTATGATAGATTTGTGGATGCCTAGGTCGTTGTTGTTGTGCAACTATGCGTAGGTGTGCCATAATAGATTATATGTAGTGTAAGTGAATATGGAATTGGAAATGGAAATGAGCACAAAACAACAGTCGTAACAAGAAGGCTAATACTATAGTCCGACTTGTGCAGGTACGGAAAGTATTAGCAATAAATCAAAGAGCAAATGTACATGCATGCATGCATATTTAGAGCCGCAAGTGTACACTAGTACTCATTATAAATAAATATTAATATAACATATGCATACGTACACACACACGCATATGTATATCCATATGGCTTTGGTTGATATGTGGGTGTAGGTACTTGTTTGCCATTTCACCATTTGCATACACACAACTGCAATAAATGTTACTCATACGTCCGGGTGGACTTTGGCTTTGCACTTTGTGTTTTCTATAAAACAAGTGACTTAGCAAAGCGTTCTATGTT